TTTCAATGTCCAGAATTACACCCGGTTTTATTAATAATAAAATTAATCATTACTAAAATAATTTAATGACAGTGGCTCTATTCACCAACTTAACACGACTTTATTTATACTCTATCTCTTACCTGCATATTTACTCATATTCTTTGCAACTCCCTTTGGGTGATCATAAAAATCTTCCATTCTATTTTGTCAATCGCCTATTCAATATTTCCTTGCTACGAAATCTCTGGAGCACGTGCTTACGTCTTTTACAATTAAATATTAAACATATTATTTTTATTACATCATACTTTAAAACTTCCCGAAGTAGAATTCGCATCTGTTATCCGCGTCACGGGAGAGTGCTCTTTGATTGTAAATTTAAAGAATCAACCGAGGCCTTGACCCTGACAGTTTTCATTCTTGGAAAAAAAATCACGCGTTGATTTTTAAGGATATTTAACGTGTACTCCGTAACTTGCTGTATCTTTATTTATTTGTATTTGATTACAGCTAGGTTACAGTGACAAAACAGTGAGGTGTAACCGTTTAACTTTTAACAACGGCAACAGAAGCAACCAACAACAATAAAATAATCATGGTTAAATGCCGATGGAGCAAAGACCTGCGATGTATAACAGAACTGAAATAACTCATATTGCTTAAACTACCTAAAAAACAACCATATTTCATACACCGATAAGAAACGAATCTCTGTCAATCCTGGTTGCAACTGGCTGGAACCTTGTATCAGTTCGAGCAATATGATATTTACATTTAAAAAAATACAGAATTAAACATATAAATTGGTTTTCCCTCATTTAATATGTAGATAGACCAAACTATGATCCTAATTAAAATTAATCGGATTTAATGAAATATCTAAAATTGTGGTCCCTATCACCGACCAAACGACTTTCCACCTAAAATATACAACTAACAGTACGACGTTGCAAGCTTTTTATGTTTTGTCTTTGAGATAAGACATGTAAAAGAAACAAGCAAACAAGCAACCGTTCAGACCACCATTCTTGTGAAAATATTTTTTTAAATCTTATAACAGTGATAATAAAGAATAAAAACAAATCAATAAAATACAGCGTTGTCCACTTACCCATCCCAGGCGTCTTCTTGCCCCAACGGCTTCAATAACTAGTGCACTTTGCTATCCATTCGTTTTATACACTTCACAAAGAAATGTATTCATGTAACGGAGCCAACTTCCATTTTAATTGCAAAATTAGTTTCCTTGTTTACTTGAACTGAAATTCATTTAAATTCAGTACATTAATGCTTTCTTTGAAAATGTTTCTCATGGACAGATTAACCCGCAGAATGAAAGGGCAACCTCCCATATCGAGGCAAAAGGAACGCAGCGGACCATGAATAAAACACAACCAGTTGCATGTTTACACAGAAAAGCATCCAAAGCCTGTTTTAAACTTGTTAGATGGAGAATGTCCAAATATTTCTCACTAAAATACCATTTCTTGTTGAGGTACGAAAAAGTACAAAATTTCCTCTTGGGTGATTTATTCACATCATCAACGTTGGCTTAATTTAATACTAGCTTACTGAACAGATATGTGTGGTGCTGAGTTATTTGCAATTTACATAAAGTTTCTTCACTACATGTTTTTTTTACTTCAAAGCTATGTTTTGTTATTATTTGTTTGTGTAAGCGTGATTCTTTCTATTCTTATTCATCATGACAAATTGGATTTCTTTATGAAAGATTTTAAACATAACATGAGTAATCAATCGCTGCATGGAAATGTTTAAAGGCAAATAATACTAGTACTACCTTCAACCAAATTTAATATGAACTTTATAGTATACATTCTCATAGTCACAACGTCACTACTGGCGTGGTAATAGAATGATAAAATCTAATCAAACATCTTATTATGCGGGGCTAAGAGCAAGTGAAATAATCAGTAATCGATAATAATTCAATAATGCAACCGATATCAAATTTAAAGGATGAAAATAAACAGCTGAATTTATTGTAATTCATCCAGGTTTATTAATGTGTTCTTCGTAAATGTTTTCCCTGAAATAGCTATTTTAGTTTTTCTTCTCCCTCATTAGAAAATCAAGTAAATGTAAATGTGTAAATTGATGTTTATCAGAGACCACATGAATGCTTTTCTAGCTTCATTGTAACATGCAATACACTGCCTCATGAAGATTATTCACCAAAATTTAAAATTTCAAATTGTCAGCGAGAGGGAGAGAGATGGGGGTTTTGAAAGCTGCAGTCATCCGTTATACATGGAGTCACCTGTAATGCCGTACTTACTACAGACTAGACATTTTATAATAATATTTCAATTTCAAAGTCATGTCTAGGTAAAATGTGTCATTTATTTCTACAAAACACATCTTATGTGAATTATGAAAATAGATACATGAAGGCTGCACAGATTAAGTTGAAATGTTGCATGCAAGTAATGGATGCTACTTGGCGTAAACTGAACGAAACAGTGTGTTTCAGCATTGTTGATATGCGCCATATCAATTATTGTGTCGCAGGGAACGCTCCACACAGTCTTACAGAGGTACACCCAGAATGGTGTGCCTATATAGAGGCTACGCCCAAGGCACCCAGAACTTACCACCGGGATACAGATGTATTTACGGTTTACCTGCTACAAATAAGCATATATATATATATATATATATATATATATATATATATATATATATATGTATTAAGACTGGTTTAAGCAAAAAAAAAAAAAAAAAAATATATATATATATATATATATATATATATATATATATATATATATACCAGGCGCCCTCTGAGGGACCCTCTGTGACAGTCAATTTCATTTCACAAGATAAAATATCCGTCAACGCAGAGTACCTGTATTTACAGATACTTGTGGAACAAAGGGTCTGAGCAGGAACCGCGGCAATCAAGATAGCTAGACTTGAAGTCTATAATATATCCGATATGTGAGTGGGCAGTACATGCCGAAGCAAAGGCTTACTGTTCCTACAGCAATACTTGTCCAAATTGAACAAGCTTTGATCGATGCCTAAAATATTATTCTAGTTCCAACTCCAAGAAACCTGTCGGGATAAAGCAATACCTTGCTGCTTAAGTAATAGCAGATGAGGCAACACGCACCACTGACCGTTGCTGTGACTACAGACACTGCTACACTGTATGAGCCTCCTTTGTGAAGCTTAAAACTCTTTCCAAGAGATAATGTTAAAATATGATCTTGAAATAATGTTATTAATGGCTGTTGTATGACTTAAAATCAGTCATGTTTTTATTTTTTATTTTATTATTATTTTTTGCTTAATTAGATAATTTCAACTGAATAGTTGATATCACAATTTCAGCGAATAGATTATAAAAAGTTATTAAAACAATATTTAAGCCATTGATTTCATTTATACGTTGGAACAGTAGGAAAAGATCAAAGCAAATGATATGGAAAAATATTCCAAATTAAATTTCAAGTCTCTAGTACTAATGAGGGATGTAACATCAAGTTTCTGGTACTGTGACGAAAGTCGCAAGAACACGTGCAACAATTAACATTTAATTGTATGAAATGAAGAAGGAAGTAAACCAAGTGACTTGATTCGTAAAATACGGAATAATTAGTATTTTCAGATACCAGAAATGCACCTTAAAGATCATAGGTTAACATAATTCACAAAATCCGTCTTCTTTAGTACCATATTTTCCTAAAAACAAGGTGCTTTCCAAATTTTCAACCGCAATTGAATTTTAAATAAATGCAAGAGAGGCATGCAAACAAGTCAGCTTGCAAACAAGTCAGCTTGGCAAAAGAGAAAACCTTCAATCAACGATCAATGAGATCTTGCTGTGTATACCCCATACACGGTCTATCATTACACTTACATGTATCAACATAGTTCCAGGCGTAGTTTAGTCGCAGTAACTTCTGTTGGTAATAAAGGGGAATGTTTAAATAACTAAAAACTCACATATCCAAATCAATTGCGATTATCATTCTGAACAGCAAGTTCATTATCATGGGCTGTGTGAAATGGTATAATAGAATAATATTTAAGTTCTCCAACAGTACGAAATTAGCCTGGGTTATCACAAATCGGGGGGGGGGGGGGGGATAAAAAAATTCTGCCTTGTGCCAACAGTCATTTTTACATAGTTTATTAAACTCTTACTAGCACGAGTTTTGCTTATCATACCGTGGTGCGAAATAAGCCCAGGTTAACCACCATGCAGTCTGGGGTGAAGGGGGGGGTCCACTTTGTGCCAAAAGTCATGCTTTACATATTTTGTTGAACTCTAACTTGCACGAGTTATGCTCATCATACCGTGGTTGACTGTGTGGAGTGGGGTTTGTATGGGCTTTGTTTCAAAATCCTGATATTAACTGCCCAATTTACAAAGAATATTCTTGCCGCTTTGAAACTGCATTAACGACTTAATGTTTATTCGCCTTAGTTCAAATTATTTTATGAGACATGCATTATCTCTAGTGGGTTTGAATAGACAGTAGCTTAACCGCATATTGGTAGGTGTCTTCATAACAAAAAATTTGCAGTTATAGCAACTCCATAATGCCAAGCTTAGGAATGCATTCGTCCATTATTTTGACAGAGTGGAATGTTACAAGGATTGAAAAGATTCTACCAGATAAGGACGTGCTTACATCATATGTTAGTCTCTACTTTTTCTTTTGATTTTACTAAATATCCCTCCCTGCTAGTTTGGACGATTGAGATATTAAATGCATGAATTATAACAAAGGAGTTTCAGATAAAAAGCATGCATTTTATTATGCCTAAGATACAGTTACACGCGGATCCTGAAAAAGTTTCATTCAGGCAAATGAGAAAAACAATAAAATCTGAATATATAAAAGGGAAAAATATTGACCGATATATATTCTTAATACAATGTTTATATGTTACTCGATATATTGATATACATATTTGTGCTACACAGTGTGTGTTTAAGTGTATTTTGATATTTATTTCTTTTACACTCATGTGTCTACCCTAAACTTCAGATAGCATCAATGTGTTTTGTTTTAATCAATTAGATTCACACAAATAGAGAAAGCGCCGTTTCACCCAGGGAAATGTGTAAGTCAATAAAATCTGAATATGTAAAACTGACAATAATCAATATTGTTATAAGGTTTAAGAAACTGAAACTGATAACTTAATTCTGAACAATTATGTAACATGTACTTTGTGGTCAGCTAAATTTTGAGCATGGACACTCGTTTTTAAATGAAGAATGCACAAAAGAAGCAATAGAAATGAAATAACCAATACATATTAAATAATAATTAATTAATTAATCAATTAATAACCTGATAAACGCATTCAAAATTAATAAGATTAGTAAAAAAGAAACACGTATATAAAAAAAGATAAACAATGATACTGATAATAAATTGAACTTATTCATTGTATTGACGGGTTCGAATAAATCTATGAAAGCCAACTAACTAAAAATAAATGAGTTGTATTTAACAAAACGGAAACCAAATTACTCGGACAGGACCTGCATGGATTACAAAAGTCATTTTTTTGACAACGTGAGAACAATGTTAGAACAATATAGGCCTATGCAGTTTGTGGTTGTAGTGTGAAGTAGTCTTTTTTACTTGAATTAAGCACGATCTTCAACACATACAAATATGTCCACATGAACATGAACATGCACACGTACAAAAAAGCGCACACATATGTATTCAGACTAAGTCGACAATTTTTTTTGTATCCCGTTGAACAAACATGTCTAGCAGCTGCCCGCTTTAGCGATGAGTTTTCTTACAGAGCTTGCAATGTTCCAAGATAGGGATAAAGGACTCCACGGATTCCTGCTTCCCCAGGTCCATCTCCACTCCTGATATGAAAAAGACAGCTTCAATCCCATTTTTTATAATAATAATAATAATAATAATAATAATAATAATAATAATAATAATAAATCATGACAATCCTGGATCAAAAGTTATACAAATTTATTTAAGCCAAGTTGAATAAAAACAATGAACTGATATTAAATTACACCAATTCACAACTTACCCAGAACCTCCAGCCCCCAACGCTGACCTTAGATCTGACTTGATACCAAGCTTGGATGGTAATCGTCATGGGGTCGTGACCGTGGTAGAACGAAAAACAAATCCCGGGATACAACTTCCCCTCTCCTTCAACCAGGTAATTGAGGGTGACGCCGATGTTTATCCCACCACGAGCCAGTGCCTGGAAATAATGCATGACATATTTAGCGTGCATTAGGATCATCTTGATTATATCCTAAAAGTATGTATCACGACTTTGACAAAATCGTTATCGATAAAAGCTCAGTTAATAATAAACAGCGACGGTTTTATTAACAACTACACACAGTTGTTCTTTTGATATTTTCAATAAATAAAATTACTTATTAACATCTACAACGCGAACTGTTTTAGTCTTTGAAATATTTCAGTGGCATTACTGAAAAGAATTGTGTATATTTGTGTTTATAAACTTACAGCAACATTAGCTGAAGCAGCTCCAGATATTGCGACACTAGCTTTAAGGGTCATCGTCAAACAGTGAGAACAGGGGTTATTTGAACGAGGACAAAACCCTACTCTTACACTAAAGTCCACCCTCGGTGCCAAGGTAACTGTAACGGTGATATGGCCGACATAGATAAAAATCTGGAACGACTTGGTTATTGGTGATGGTTTGAAAACTGGAAAAGTTCTGACCAGTGGGCCAGACCGATAAATGTTCACCACTGTGGTCCCGAGGACATTGAGATAGACTCTCGTGGTACTGCTGCTTCTCTTAATACGATATGCTTCTGCGATTGCAAGAGTAAGACGTAGGGAGAAGACTTTGAGTTTGGCTACTGATTTGCCGTACACTTTACAGTATCCTTGCTGTACATTTTCACCAGCAAACACACCAGACTTGATATAAATATTTGTTTTCGTAGGGCCAAAACCGATGTGGGATAGGCAGTGTTTATTGTCTGGGTATTGAGAGTTATCACTTGAGAACTGCGATGAACTTAACAATTCTGAATACCGTGAACCGTGGGTGCCCCAAGAACTGCAATCAAGATGGTCAACTCTTCTCTTGGTGCGCGCGGAGTTCATCGTGTCGTAAGTTTCAATATGAGTACCAACTGGTACACCTTTAAGTTGAAGATACTCCTTAATGTCTGAAAATGAGCATGCATATCTTACATCTGCCATAAGAAGTGCATTGAGAAGGATTCTGTCCACCTCTGTTTGACCTGAATTGGGCCATGCTTTATTGTTTGTATCCAGTACTTTTCTGTAGGCAAGTTCGCCTTTGATGGTCACAACAACAGCTTCACGTAATTCACAGTCAGATGATGGACGAGTCAGCAGATTTACTAGCCATTGCTGAACCGACTCAACGTGGAAGTTTCTTCTCAGAGCGTGGATACAGCCTATCTCTATCTCTTCCAACTGTCCTTCTCTTTTAGCAACTGCCAAAACATCCGGCGTTAGTCTGTTGTCTCCAAAGTTACCTATAGCCTCAAGAGCGTCACTGATTTGTTCTGTATTGTTATTTTTGTCGCCTGATTGAAGATGGCGTCGAAGAAGATCCACTAATTCTGACCGAAAACCAGTGCTTGTAGTTTCCTTGGAGGCGAGGGAGCCGAGGGTAAGTATGACGTGACTTTGGGATTGATCCTCTTGAGAGGACGTGTTCCAGAGTGTCTTGACTGTGGTCAAGATGTGGTTTGTGGGTTTAGCAATAAAGGACAACTTCTGAATCAGTTCCTGCTTTTGCCCGGTTGATAGTGGATGATACTGGACCAGATCTGACAGAGACTTGGAAAAGAAAAACAATCAATCAATAAATCAATCAATCAATCAATCAATCAATCAATAAATAAATAAATAAAAGAATGTCATAGTGTTACTTATAATGATCATTACTACAAAATATGTTACGACTGTCTCCTCTTTAAGAAAGAAGAACGTGATGCATGAAAAATCTCCCAGAGTAAAAATCATTTGACCGTTGTGTGCATTACTGTAAAGTCAAATTCCGTTTGTCTTATAGATCAAAGTTTACTAGGACATGCTGTAGATGATCAGAGACAATTGAACACGAATGGATCCACAAATCAAGTGAAGGAGTCATGGACAACTAAGATAACAGTACTCTTTATAAACTGCACCTTTTCGACTTCTTTTCCGCCGGCTGTGATATAAAGATCCAAAATTTCTTTGCATATTTCCCAATTTGCCGAACACTTGGAAACAATCTAGAAATAAATATTGGCTTAGACTTTAGCAAAGTTAAAAAATAATAGAAAGAAAAAAACATTAGTGGAATTTAAAGTTATAAATTTTACGTTAAGCAATAACGTAGACTCAATCCTGAAAATATTAAATAATGTATACAATGCTGTCTTATACATATTCTTACCAATTTTTAGAAATAAAAAGGAAAGTGGACACGTTACAAAACCTGACTAACTACAGGTATGTCTTAAATAATCATATATTTGCTATTGGTAATATGTAAAGTGACAGCTTAAACTGTTAAATTCGTAAAAAAAAAAAACATTATAAAAAGTTTCCCTAGGAAGCTTTCTCATATTATCTTGAGTACTTTTTTACGATAGTGTCTTGTGATTGAAATACATCAGGCAAAAAAATATGTAATTGATCATAAAATGAAAGCTTTGTTGTTATTTTGATGTTAGCGTCACAAATATCTCAATAAAACATTGACCTTAGCGAGAAATGCTCTGTGGTGCTTCGACGTAACGTACCCACTTACGACTTTTTTACAGGCTCCATCGATGGCCTTGTTTTGGGACGCTCCCAATTTTTCCCATTTTTATATACTTTACACATATGGTGAGTAGATTGTGTCTTACAATTTTTATTAAAATCGCTAGGGTGGAAAGGGTACTTCTGTAATATGAGAAAGCCTCCTTAAATGCAAACCTCTTTTGTTGTTTGCATCAGTTGCTTAACCAGGGCAGGTTTGTTGGCGGCTGCAGAGGTTGCAGTGTTGTGTGGCATCCCGAGTTCATTTTCCAGTGACAGAATTTCATTCACTTCGTTTACTATAACAAAAACATACAGAAAAGGGCCACAATTTAGAAATTATTTAGAACACTTTAAAAAATACACGTCTTCGGAAGAAACCTTTTCTCGTCTTTAACAATCAAGCAAAAACATACAGCATTGGTCAAAGCGGTGGTCCCACCTCCATTTTCGTGTACTTTTATTTATAAGTGATCACCTCACAGATAGAAATTTTCACAATCTGTGCCTTTTAGTTCAGATTTCACATCTAACATAATTATATTGTTATAGAATATACAAAATGGCAGTAATATCCATATCCATAGTTCATTCCATTGATTCAAATTTATGTCCTCTTCATCCTCAGACCCCATGTTTCACCCCATCTGCAAGAGGTGAATTTGGGGGTAAATTTAGGAATCATCATGACAGAACACTTGCTCACAATTCTCGTATAATGAGTGATTTGCAAGAACAAAATGTTCAAAGGATGGAGCACTATCTTTGAGCCCTGATAAAAAACCCACTGAGCACCTGCAGCATTAATTGGAGTGTGCAATGCAGAGGAGAACCCCCTTCTAATCTAAACCAACTTCGCCAAGCTTGTCACAGTATCCCACAAAAATAATTGTTACACTTGTTGAAGGTATGCCCCTATAGTGTGCTATTTGGTCCGATCTCACAAGATCAACAAAACCTGGTGAAAAAAAGTGGAAGAGATCACTCTGGAAGAGGGGGAGGTGTTAACCTCATTCGACGTAACAGCCCTATTCACCAGCGTACCAGGCAATGAAGTAACAAGTATGGCAGTAGAAAGGGCCAGGAAGGATAGACCTTGGAAAACAGAACACTGCTTTCTCCAGAGGACTTTGGGGACCTACTAAAGCTAACAATTGAGACAATTTACTTCTGGTACCAAGGGCGTATTTACGAACAGATATATGGACTGGCAATGGGCTTTCCACTCTCTCTCCTGTCCTGGTCAACCTATTCATGGAAAAGTTTGAAGAGCAGGCACTAAGAACAGCCACCCACCCACCAAAATTTTGGGCCAGGTACGTCGATGATACAGGGGTTATAATACATGAACAACACGAGGAGGAGCTTTTCCAACATCAATGCACAACATGATAGCATTAAGTTCACAATAGAAAGAGAAGATGACAACCAGACATTACCCATGCTGGACTTACATGTACAGCTTACTAGGAGGAATGATACCATCACATCAGACATTTATAGGAAGCCTACGCATACAGACCCCTACCTTCAATGGACATCCCACCACCCTGTCCAACAGAAGATAGGAATTATTAAGACGCTGATGCATAGTGCAGACACACTGATAAAAGAGAAACCCAAGATAGAGATAGAGAAGGAAAAATCAGAGTGGCTTTTAAAAACTGTGGTTACCCGGAAAGGGCTATAAAAGAAGGGGAAAAGAAAGGAAGTAAAAACAACAAAGACTAGAGAACAGGACTGAAAAAGAAAAACCCAAAGGACATGTGGTACTACCTTACATAGAAGGGGTTAGTGAAAAGCTAAAAAGAGCATTCAGAAAAAGGAGTGTAGTTTTACACCATAAGACAGGACAGACATTAAGAGGCATCCTAGTATCCCCAAAGGACAAATAAGTCCCAGGAGAACAGTGTGTTGTTGTATACCAGTGTGAGGTGTGTGGAGAGAAATACATCGGAGAGACAGGACGTTCCTTAACAGAGAGATTCACTGAACATCAAAACTCCATCAAAAAACGTGATAAAAAATCTGCCCTCAGCCAACACCAGGAACAGACAGGGCATTGTATAACATCAACAACCATAGAAGACATAAAAATCTTGGAAAGAGAGCCACGAGACCTACACCGGAAAGTTCTTGAAGCGATTAACATCCGCTTACATGGGGCCAAGTTGAATCGGAATGATGGGACTGAGCTACCCAACCTCTACCTACCACTCCTAAGGGAGGGCAGGCAAGGGGGGGGGGTCTGACCAAATAGCACACCAGAGGGGGTGATAGGTTGTCACACCTGTTACAACCTCATTCCCTGATGAAGTCTGACTGCAAGCAGATGAAATGTTGAATGGTAAGCTTAGACAAATATAAGTAGCTATAGACAAAATAATCTTCACAAGTCTCCTGAATAGAGGAAATTCACCTGGATAGCCTCAATCCCTATGTTCTGTTAGACATCGAAGTATTGGACTATTTCTATATTAATCTGTTGATTGAAAAGAAATTATTTCATTCTAATACCTTTCTTAAAATATATATAACGCTATTACACTTACATTGTGACGGATCTGTTGGATCCTTAATGAAGTTCGCCACAACCTGACTCAACCTATCCTCTTCATCGAACTTTTTCCTCAAAACAGTCCATCTTCGGTACACACCAGACACTGTAATAGTGCAGTACATAACCATTTGTAGAATAAAAATGACCCACTAGCGGTTTAAGAAAGAAAGAAAGAAAGAAAGAAATACATGTCTCGAAATAACCAGCTCATCAAAGTGAAAAAAGCAGACCTTATTTTTTTTTGTCTTCTCTGAACCGTATTTTAAGTTAAAGAAATTTAGTTACAATAACAGTTTTTCACACCGTGTATGAGCTGTATTTTCAGTTTGGGAGATTAAAAATTAATTCTGAGAAACTACGTGTGTATGTAGCAGACTAGCAGTATATACATGTAACAGAAACTAATATCTTATCTTCATTTTGGTAATGACAAATATTTTAATATATGAACTTAGATGAAATATAATTATCAGCTTATCAGTTTATCTTTTCATTGTGATAATCGTACATTGTTCCAGGCTAGTACACATACCCTTGTCATACTGTCCGACCAAGGATCTTTTCTGGAATTGAGTGTTAGCTGCCGCTTCCATTCTTTGAACGCCTTCAACGGAACGCTTTACGTGCTTGCGTAAGGTAAGGTTGAAGGTCACGTCAGATGTTAAAAATGCCCCAAGATCAACATCCCCTCCTTCCTCAGAGCTGCTGGCCTCATCCTGAAGGAATAACGCATCAGTGAAATGCAGTATCGGATCCCTGTGTATACTTATAAACATTATTATTTGTATTTGGTTTTTGTAATTTTGTCTGGGAAATGCAATGTACAATTCGAGTATGTTTCGAGTATGTTAAGCATCGTGAATTTTAAAAAAAGCAAAAAGATAGAAGCAATATCGAATTATTAGATGCACCAAAAACTTCTTTTTCAATATCTGGATGGTGATAAAGGGTAAAGGCGACTTACAAAGGTAATTCTTCTTTAATGGGTTACTTATGACCAATAGCTTTATTTCATAAAAATAATCAGATGTTAAATTTTGCAAAATGCCCTTTTCACTATGCCTCATGGATCTACCATCTACCTAATTTGACAGCGTAGTGACTGTTTGGTTAAATGAATGGAACTACAAATTTATGAACAATTATTACCAAATAATATATGATAAAAAATTAAATTACCTTAACAAATATGCACCTGAGGTCGTAAACGGCTATACCGGTATGAACACGCTTAAATATTTCGGACCACGCTAACATGCGGTAAGAAAAATTAATCAAAAAAAAAAAAAACTGCTACAATATCACGCTGCTTTATAAATTAAATCATATCTACCTGTTCCTCGGGCTTGTCAAAAACCTGTACGTGTCCGGAGACGCTGGTCAGTATATTTCCACTAACACGCTGGACTTCATCTGTCTCGATGTCCACTTCGTCGGTGTCCAAGTCAGTATTATCCTCTGCATATATCTCCTTGGATGAAAAGTGCTTCTTTACTTCAATTTCTCCAAATTGCAGCTCTGTAGACCTAACATTGAATTTAATTCTAAATAGTAAATGGACATAATGAGACCAAAAGCACTACACATTTCATTTTAGGAAAGTAAAAGAAAGAGAAAACATTAAAAATAAAAAGCATATCGGGAAAAATAAGTCGAGAGATATAATTTAACGTATATACACCTGTAAACACTAAAGTTACTATGTAAGAACAATGTCAAACAATCCATAGTTAAAATATAGGTCATTTAAAATACAACAGCTATTTTTTCTCAATCCCAAATGTCATTTTTGTCACAATTGATGGTTTGATATTTACTTAAAGGAACAAGATTTTAAGACAAAAATTAATTCGAAATCTATTTTATAAAGACATTAAAATTAATTTAAAAAAAATAATAATAATAAGCACTCGTGCTTGTTTTTAGTAAAAAAAGGAATAATTGCATTTATGATAAACCATGCAACTGTGATCTCATTTTTGATGTTTTATGGCTTAAATTGAGACACATGTTTTGATTTAACTTTTTGAATAACATACCTGTAACATGGAGGACAAATTCTTTGCACCCTTTCCTTATTTTTGTAAATAAATTTAGGATAAAAATGTCCCTTTTCAATAAAAGCTGTTGAAAAACCTGTAAGTATCTAAAATCAATATAAATACAAATCAAAATCCCTCCTAGAGGTGCGGAAGCTTTTTTTTATGAAACTAGTACGACTTATGGAGTTAAGGGGCTGTATTACTCTGCTGAAGGATATCCTGTTGTGAATATGTATCAGGTGCCACGGTCCAGCTCTCTTTCATAAGTATTATGTTGTTGTTGTACACAAGCCAAAAAAAAAAAAAAAAAAAAAAAAAATATATATATATATATATATATATATATATATATATATATATATATATATATATATATATATATATATAATGATGAAATGGTAGGACCATACGCTTACCTGTAGCGTGAGTTATGTGTCCCCATGACGTCCGTCTCTTTGACATTTTCTTTGCCACGCACTAAATTCGTTTGAAGTGCCGACAGAATAGAACGCTTGAAATTCATGACATCTATATTTCCTAAAATAAAGGTGGAGGTTTTAAGCATGAAGTCTTTTTTAAGAAAGATATTCTGATGTTTATATGGAGAACATATACTTACTTTGTTTATTTTTAATTGAGCGGCAAATATGCAATTT